GAACTGATCATAATAGGAGGGTAAGGAGTGTATAATAATATCTATTGCTAACTCCTCATCAGAGTTCACATTTAACTTTAGCAAACGGTCCACGAATCTTTGCATTTTCTGCAGGTGGCCCGTGATAGACTCTCCATCCTTCATTTTTGTTGTTATCATGGAGGTGATGATTTCATACATTTCCCGACGAGCACTCTGATGGTATCTTTCCATCAAGTCCTGGTGCATCTCATAAGGGTATAAAATCTTCATAGGATTTATGGAGTTCTGCTATCATGGTAGCCAACATGATACAAGACACCTTAGTGGCATCCTTCTCATGGCTAGTGAACTCATCAATCTCCTCGGGAGTAGCAGAAGACTCATTGATGACCTTAAGCTCCTTGTCGAGGACATATTCCTTGTCCTCATAACGAGTGACCATCCTTATGTTCCTAATCCAATCATTGAAATTAGTTCCATCAAAGATGACTCTCCCACAAAGGTTCATGAAAGAGAAGGAGCCAGTAGGGTTTGAGCCAGAAGCAGCATTGTTGGAAGACATCTGAAAAGGAAGAAAGACAAGTTTAGATTAGATATAGAATCCTTAATAAGACACCCAAATAAAATATTAAGGCTAGGACCCAACACAATATTTTACAACTTGGAAGAGGGATGTCGTAATCCAAGCTACAAAATATTTGAAGGTAGGTAAATGACGATTTACAAATTTCCACCATGAAAAACGAAATAGATTATTAGGTTTTAATTGGATTGAAACTCCTAGATCTTTTGAGATTCATTGAACAATTCAATGGCATGTTTAAATCTCGATTATGCCCTTCAAGTTTGTGACTGGGATACCGAGGATCACAAAACAATGTGTGAATAACCATGCAAATTAACTTGGTAATCTTAATTTTATCACCTAATCGATGTGCCAGTTAACCACATACGCTCCACCGATCTATGATAAACCTTAAGCCACCCTTTGCCACCCTTGTTAAGTCCAAGTTAGTGTGTCGGTTAACCACACACATTCCACTAACGACTTTAGCAAGGTGCAAAGTGTAATTTCATGGGTTAGCATCAATTTCACATTTTCCTAAAGTAACTAAGATTGGGAATTTATAAAAGGTTTAGTTACTTTATATTTATTATTATACTTTTAATGAGAATTATAGTCTTTGTCCTACCCGTTCGGCTAACGACCCTCCACCAGTCAAGGAAGCTGTGGGTGAGAGTGGACACCCATTAAGCTGCCATTTTATAGGAAACAACCTTATACCCCCCCCCCCCCTTATAGATCGGCTTCGTGAATGAGGCCTACTAACGGTAAGACTAACTTGATCTTATATATATATATATATATATATATATATATATATATATAATATATATTTTATTAACTTATAATATTATAAGTATAAGGGTTGAATTTTAAACTTTAAAAATCTAGGGTTTGGAATTAAAGTTTTCTAAAGTGACTTTACAAATTCCAAAACTTGAGGGCAAGTTTTGAAACTATTCAAAACATTTCATTTCTATAACTTATGAGTTTTAATGATTTTAATGGAAAAGACTCTTGGAATTCCATAACTTGAGGACAAGTTATAGAGTCCATTAAAAAGCATTTAGATCAACAATTAAACTAACAAGCATGTCAAATAATTTCTATGATCTAACAAAACTCATAAGCATGCATAATTCATATCAACAATTTTCAAGAATCATATGAACTTAATATAAAACTTCAAACTTTGACAATTACCATTGAAATTGGATAAGCATAATCATTACCACATCAAAAACAGGTTTAACAATCTAAAAACGGTTTAGGGTAATGATCTTAGTCCAATTCCAGCATTCAAACTCGAAATTCTGCACTCAGGGCCTCCTACTCGTCGAGTGCAAGAACCTACTCGACGAGTAGGATGAGTTTTCACATGGACTCGTCGAGTCCCCCCATGGACTCGGCGAGTTCACTGAACAATGAGCAGAAAAATCGATTTTTTTAGCAATTTTCATCAAGTATAATTGAAAACAAGCCAAGACATTGATACCATTGATGGATTTTGAGCATTCTAACACTCCTATGGTGTGCATGCAACCCTAGAAACCTTGGATCTATGTTTTCTCTATTATACATGCAAACTTTCATTTTTCCAAGGTTTCATCCTAACTAGCATATCATTGGGTATATGTAATATAAAAACTAGTAGGATGACATATCTTTCTTGTAGCTTGGATTCCTTAAGACTTTGTGAGTCTAGCACCCCAAATGTGATGCCTCAAATGCTTCACACAACACCACCAACAACTTGGAGTAACTTGAGAGAAGATTGATATGCACCAAAAATCGGCTAGCCCTCACTAGTATCACTTAAGTGCCGATTTTACAAGGATGAGGCTTCTTTATATAGCGTGCATATTAGGGTTACACCATGTAACTCATGTCTTTCCATATTCCTCATGATCCATGGGTTTTAGACTCCATGGATCATCCATGGGTCACCACATGAGTTTAGCCCAACATGAAAAATTAAGGATCATAAGCCCACCATACAAGAATGAATGATTTACCAAATCAATCCCCATTTATTTAATTAGTCTCTTTTGATCATAAAATTAATTCCATACTAATTCTTGTTCAATACTAATTAAATAATTCGTATTAATATATTAGAACTTATAATATATTAATAAATCATAAATATCCAATTCTCACAAAAGTCTATCCAAATTGTTCCGATGTCATGCAACCCAAATGGACCATGCCAAATCGGGTCAAGTACATACCAATTATAGTTATGAACTTAGACACCTTATCCAACATTTGTCACGTCATTTTTTTACTATGCCACCTCGCTAGCAATTTTTTTAGCATTTCATTAGGAGTGGTATCACCCCTAGCATTCCTTACTTTTTATTTTCTTTTTCAAATTTAAATAAATTATATTTTTTAATTTATGATTTTCTTTTTCAAATTTAAATAAATTATATTTTTTTTAATACACAAACATTTCATATCACATAAATTATATTTTTTTTAAAACACAAATACTTGATATTAAATAAAAAAAAGGTTGCAATAAATTAAAACATAAAATATGATTAAAATTACATTTAAAACATAAAATTACCTAAAACACCACTTACTATCGGACTTAAAACATAAATTAAAACTACATTTAAGATATAAAAATACTACTACTTATTTCACTTATATTTTAACAATCTCCGCCCTTGCATTATTGAAAATCTGACGATCCTCCTTAGATAAGCTGGTTCCATTTCTTAAGAAAAAGCTTTAGCGCACGGTTCCTTTCTTTTTCCTCTCCCAATTACAAAAATTTATCAAGATTATTCTCCAACCCTCGGATGTTGGTCCTTATCTCCTCTACTTCACTCGATAAACTTTGAACTCCTTTTAGCTTTCTTTTTGCTTTGTCTAGTCCCATATGACAAGTTGCAACTTCATATGGATATTCGTTGTTGAGATCAATCCTGATATGCGCATTAGAAGATTGAGTGTGAGTTGACTCGGAAGTTTTGTTTCGTTTGGACATACTCGTAAAATCATCAACACTTTTTAGATTAAGCCATTTTGTCTTGTTCTTCACAACTCCCCAAACGCCTCATTTGCAAAAGCTTTTCTGATTTTTTTTCTTATAAATTCGACGACATTTTGCTATGACATCCGCCTCATTTGCAACGCTTTGCGGGTTACGGGCCGCGTTCATGTAGATGTCATTGAACTTCATTGACTTCGTGTTGGTGGTTCTCCATTTCAAGTAAACTGGATTAGGATTGTGGTACTCCTTTATTCATTCGGACACAAAAACTTCTCCGAACTCTAAATTTAAAGGTTGTCGAATCTTAGTCGTCCCCCGTCGTCGGATCCTCTGATACATCTAGCCATGCTTGCAGTAATGTCTTCTCTTCTTTATCAATCCATCCTTGGCATTTTGCCTTTCCTTTTTCTTTACTTTTTCCTTTTGGGTCAATTTCGGGCTCTTGAACACCCCTTCATCAAAAGAATCGGTTGACTCATCGACTAGTCGGCATGGTTCAGATTGAAAATTAGTTTGGGGTTGAGGTTAGGAAAAAATTTTGGTTTCTTGAACCGACTCAAACAGATCAAGATCGAAATTTGGACGAGGTATTGGTTGAGATTGGAAATTATTTTGGGGTCGGTTTGGATAAAATGGCATTAGTTGAGACTGGAAGTGAGTAGAGTATGGATGGAATGGATACATTTATGGAGTCATAGTAGGATAATAGTCACTAGCGGCTGAATGAATGGATTGATAAAGTGAATGTCAATAACAAGTTGGTGATGGAAGTAAGTAGAGTATGGATGGAATGGATATATTTATGTAGTTATTCACTTGTTCTTGTTAAACCATACACGAGATACAATTAATTTGCCACATTCAAAAAAAAAAAAACGCGAAGGTACCTTTATACTCTGTACGGATGGTTACCGGATAAGCGAAAAAAATTACAAAGTTTTGTAATGAAATCAAAAAATAAAAGTTAAAAAAAAAAATCTATGGATGGTTACCGATTAAACCAAAAAAATTGAAATTGCAATGGTTTTTTTTCATATTATTAGCCTATCAATCAATTACAATTAATTCGTTTTACAAAAATAAACATAATATAAATTTATCAAAACCAAAAAATAAGATTGTAATAGGAATACATTTTCCTCTACTTTTAAAAGATAAAAATTTAATGAATTACACAAAAAAAACATACATTTGTCATTAAAAACCACAAAGTAAATCATTTCTATTCCATCGGTTAAAAAACAAATAATTAATTTTCATAGTCTTCTAATTTTGCTAATCGGGATCCACAAAATGAATGTCGAGAAGAGATACAGTGTTGGATCCATAAAAATTTTCACATGCCCAATTGCCCATTGCCAGATTTCGAATGAAAATGATAAATAAAAAAGAAAAAAGAAAAAAAAAACATATATTTTACATAACATCACAAAAATGGAAGCAAATCCACATTTCCAAATATAGCAAATGAACATCGAACCTAAATAAATTGTAAAATTAAATTGTATTACTCATCCATGACGTCTTCTTGCTCACTTCCCTCCTCACCATCTCCTTCAGAACCTTCCTCCGAGTCCTCTTTCTTTTCCTCGCTATTTCCTTAAATAAACAAAATATAAAAAAAATTCACTTGTCAAAGAGGACCCATTAAGTTCCACAATTTTACAAAATCTAACCCTCATCTCTTTTCTCTTCCATCTCCCCATTTGTGTTTCATTTCTTTCTATTACAGCATTCTACTTTCAATTTTTGTCTTATTAGGACACAATACTTTTAAAAAAATCTAATTGCTTTCTATCAACATTAAATTACTTTTACGTAAGGTAAAAAAAAGTAAATATCACAATTTTTCATGGTAAAAAAAAAAATTACCGTATTCACTAAAAATTACGGTGCCCGAACATAATCCATCCTCGATCTTGATAAGCTGAAGTGTCATGCGGGGCCCAATCTCTTGAAGCTTGACAGCACTTTTAGTAGAAGCCTTATTGACTCTACCAACATCACTTGCTAAGCTCACAGTTGCTGCTTCATCATCTCCTTCACTTTCTGATCCATACCCCGCCCTTTTCATTTTCAAAAATAAAAAAATCTTTACCTTCATTTTATTTATACAAACACTTACTATGTGTGTGTGTGAGAGAGAAAGAATGAAAGAAAGAAGGAAACGTTACTTTGTTACAAAGTCACTGACATCTTGAAGAGATCTGAGATCAGGAACTTGATGGTTTTGCACAAATTTTCTGATTCTACGTGAGACACCAACTGGTTGCAATCTGATGGAATAATGCCTAAAATCGATAAGCTTTGTCTCCTTATTGTAATTAAGTAACACAATTCTCTGGCATGATGACAGTTTCACCTGCAAAATTTAATATAAATTATAATTTATAAAATATTAAGCGTGATAGAAAACATTTAAAGAGAAAAAAAAAAAAAAATACTCACTGTTTTAATGTCGATAGCAGGGAAGATATTTTGAAACATAATTGTTGTAAGTTTCAAATGTTGTTCACCAGTCCCAAAACCAGACAGCACAATCTGTATTCAAAATCAATATTAGCTTTTGTGAAAAAACAACACAAAATATAAATGTAACAAATAAATCAACAAAAGTAGATTAAAAAATAGATGTAAATTAGGGAAATACGAGGGGAGAGTTTTTGAAGAGGTCTTTTGGAACTCTTGGGCGTAATTGGGAATTAGCAATATCAACAGCTAAAGAATACTCTTGAATTTTGAATGTAAGAGTGGGGCCCTGTGGTGTTCTTGCAACTCTCAAGTATGGGGAACTTCCTGTTTTTGATAACATAAGAAAATGCGTTACTCCCATGGGCCCCGCAACATTCAAGAAATCTTTCAGGTTGTTACGCTTCTTTTCCTGTATCAATAATACATAATAAAAAAAGTTATTAAAAGGTAAAGTGCTGAAATTTTTTTAAAGGGTTTAAGTATTTAAAGCTCAAAATAGAATTACCTTTAGATTTAGAGCTGTATATGGAAGCATCATCTTTCTCAAGTCTGCTTGCAATTGTTTGAGAGAACCAGGTAATTTCAATCTTGAAAACACAAAGCTTCTTGGTATCTTATCACCTGTAACATGATCCACATTCTGTTGTGGCTGTTTCTTTGCTGGCTTCACAAATACCACTTTCTTTTTCTGATAACAAATGATTGCATCACAAATGTATTAAATTCAAAGACCTTCAATATAAATAGTAACATAGTTTTGTTTTATTTATTTGGGTATCATAGTATCCTATTTTTCTTTTAATCATCTTCAAAAGCTAAAGAACTGAGTAACATTACTTACATTACGGAAACGAGCCATCTTCGAATTATGTGTTCACTTGTTGCCCTAAATTGAAATTGTGTTTATAAAACAAACTGCATCAAACACAATTGGTTAGTACAATAACCTAAATTAAGATTCCAGTTAATTGCGATATGTGTGCGATGATAACTCAAAACTTTAGCTCTTTTGGAGACTAAAGTGATAACGAATAAATACCAATCAATTCAAACATGAAACATAACCATTCGGTGCTAGTGTTGGCTACTCTTAGAGGTTTAACATCTAGGTTCAATTGATAACTGAAGCACAAACTCATACATAGGAAAAAAAACAACAGCAGGAATATCAATACCCATTTCAAATTCAAAGATAAACAACTTTCATTACAAATGTTTCCATTTTACGCGTCAATTGATAAATTCTTTGAACCAACAAATTATTCTAACGGAAACCAGGGAAAAGAAGGAAGAATAAAGCTAGGGAAAAAAATCGACGGCAGGAAAAAAAAAACGCTAGCAGGAAAAATTGAACAAAACCAACCTAGCTGTGGGGTCGACGGTCTCCGGTGTTGCTGTGGGGGTGCGACGGTCTCCGGCCGGTGGCTTCACAGGAGAGAAGGCGGCAGCAGGGGAGACCTCGTTTGGAGGCAACGATCGACAGAACACGCGATGGGTGGAGGCGTCTGTGATTTGTGTAGATACGTATGAGGTTTATTAGGTTAAGGGGTTTAGGTCAAGGGTATAATGGTCGATTCATTCAAATGGTGAAACAAGAAGAAATAAGGAGATTTTATATTTAAGCCATAACAAATTGACAAAACTTTAAAAATGATCTCATTGGTACCTTTTTTTTTTTTTTTTTTTAAATTTGTCCAAATCTATATTCTTTTGATTGGTGGTCTTTTTAAGCTCTGTCTTATATGGAAAATGTCCATTTCCAAATTGAAAGGGTAAATATCATAAAAAACACTTCGTTTACACCAAAATTCTAATTTGACACCGTGTTTTTTTTGTCTCAAATTTGACATTGTGTTTTCCAATTTGTTACAATTCTGACCACTTGACCAGTTAACCAGGTTACATGCTGACGTGGCATGATGACGTGTCAGTTTTGATGATGTGGCATGCTGACGTGTCAAAATTGTATTTTTTTTTCCACAAAAAACAGTAAGTTTTCACTTTTTTCGATTTTAACACTAAGTTTAATTTTTTCTTTCAATTTTGACACTATGTTTTTTTAGTTCCAAATCGAACATCATTTATCAATTTTGACCATTTTCCATTTCAATTAAAAACCATAGTTTTGTATAAATACAAGTTTTTTTTTACATTCAAACTATAATATTATGTATAAATATGTATTAGTTATATAAAAATCGTATTTTATATTAAATACGCAACTTTAAAATGAGTTTGTAGGTTTGGAGGCGTGTAGTCGATTAAAACCCGGATGTCAAGTTTGCAACCCCTGAAATTTTCACATCTTATTAGAAGCTTATGGTTAGTTTGATTCTCATGATATAACTAATGCATATTTATACATTATACTTTGAATGTAAAAAAAAAAAAAAACAAAACAAAACAAAACCAAAAAAAACAAAACAAAAGAAACACCTTGTATTTAAATAAAAATGTGGTTTTTAAACAAAAAAAAATATATTTATACGGTTTAAAATGTAATAAAAAAATATATTTATACGGTTTAAAATGTAATAAAAAAATATATTTATACGGTTGCAAATGGAAAATGGTCAAAATTGAACAAAATTGGAAAAAATGATTTTCGATTTGGAACAAAAAAACGTAGTGTCAAAATTGAAAGAAAAAATTAAACTTAATGTCAAAATCGAAAAAAAGTGAAAACTTACTGTTTTTTGTGGAAAAAAAATCATTTTTGACACGTCAGCATATCATGTCAGCATGCCACATCATCAAAACTGACACGTCATCATGTCACGTCAGCATGTAACCTGGTTAACCGGTCAAGTGGTCATAATTGTAACAAATTGAAAAACACAGTGTTATATTTGAGACAAAAAAAAGCACGGTGTCAAATTAGAATTTCGGTGTAAACGGAGTGTTTTTTATGCTATTTACCCATTGAAAAAACTAAAATACCCTTAATATATTTATTTTTCATTTTTCTTTCTTTTTTTAACTATTTTATTATTAATAAATAAATACAAAATCTCTCTTTCTATATATATATATATATATATATATATATATATATATATATATATATATATATATATATATATATATATATATATCATCCAATAACACTTTCATCTTCTTCATCTCTTTTTTTTAATCAAACTTCCATATCCAAACATCGATTCCAGACACATATAAGCACTCATGAACATACATATCAACATACACTCACATACATCATCGAAATCGAACTCTACAAGTTCAATCCATAGGAGCTTCCAGGTGACTAGAAATGCAACAGCAAGTAATGTTAGGGTTTCTAGAAGACGACATTTTCCGACAACCATATCAGTTACTGGGCATAAATTGGTACTCTTAGATCAGTAATTTGAAAAGTGGTTTTCGGAATCGTTTGTTTAGTGATAGATAGAATGGTGGGTATGGGTGGTATAGAGAGATGCATAATGGAGCTTGGTGGAGGAGGGGGTCTGGTCTTCTTCTCTGGTTGGATCGTTTTTCAGCATCAACAAAAGGGAGCACAGAAACGCATTTCACTAAGAATCATTTGCGATTCATTTGTTGTGTGTATGTGCATTCATCCTCATATATTGAATCTGAAATCGATTTTGTATTTCCTTTTTGGAATTCAAGAACTCAAGACCAAAATCATCAGATGCACACATATACACAAATTGTTTCTCTCTCTCTCTCTCTCTCTCTTCGATTTTGTATTTCGTTCTGGGGATGAACACATATACAGAAATCGATTCCATAATCGATTTTTATGTTTTTTTTGTTTCAACAACGATTTAAGAACAAATGATTCATATTTGATTTTTGATTTTAAGAACAAATGATTCATATTTGATGTTTGATTTTGAAGAACAAACAATTTCTAGGTTTTTTTGGTGTTCTAAGTTCGGTTTTGATTTTTTTGTTTATTTAGTTCCAAAAATGGTTTTAGATTTACGAGTGTGTTTCTTTTGTCTGTGTTTGTGTGTTTATGTGTGTGTTTTAAGAATCATAAAAAAAGGGACTGTGTATGTATGTGTTCTTGGTGCTATGAAGTTTTTAGGTTATATATATATATATATATATATATATATATATATATATAGAGAGAGAGAGATGGGGCCTCCTTTTTATTTGTTTTTATTTTTAGAAATTTAAATAAAAGTGAAAAATGTTTAACAAAATAGAAAAACAAATTAAAAGGGTAAATTAGTCTTTTTCAAGTTTAACATAGCCTAATTCCACAAACAAACTACCTCAAAATGATCATCAATCCAAAAAAATCAAGTTTGGATCAGACCTCAGGAAAAATGCATACGACATTGACCATTTTTGCAGTTTTGTCTAACAAAATTATCAAAAATCATTTATTAGAGCTATTTAACTTCTGTTTTAATATTTATCTAAACATTTTTTTAACTTATATCGGTATAAAATCGGTAACAAATTAAAAAGCTCATTTTTTAAGCTTAATCAAACACTCTATTATAAGGCTGCAAGGAGTCGCACGTTACGGAAGGCTCGCTAGAGCTCGTTAGAATCGTTACACACTGTCTCTGGCTCGCGCTAGGAACTCGCCACCATCAATGCACTAGTTGCTTAAAGAGAGAGAGAGAGAGAGAGAGAGAGAGAGAGAGACTTTGATTTGATTGGTTGTTAGTACTTATGACCACAATTAACCATTTGATCATTTGTTTTTTTAAACTCTTTCTTCTTTGATAAAAAAAATACCCGATTTAAAAAAAATCAAATTTTCAAATTTTAACCCAACCAATATATATAACCATTCACCTTTTTTATTTCAACATACATACATCACAATACATCTCTCTCCCAAACCACCCCATCAATTTATAAAATTTAAAAAGAAAACAAAAAAAAAGTCGTCTTCGTCCTCATCTTCATCATCGTCGTCATCTTCATCGGACGATGCTTTTGATATCGTAATACAGTCAATCATCTTCATACATAATAGGCTAGAACAACATATTGACAACCATGAAGCAAGCATTTCGCAACGTAAACGAAGAAGATATATCCAAAGCATCTTTGTTTCGTGATGTTTCTACTATGACAGAGGTGATGTATACATGTATTATATTGCATAATATGATATTAGAACATGAAGGAACCGTGATATGTGTGTACGACGAGAATGGAGTCATCCCCGAGACACAACCACTTGAATATGGCGGTCAAGAAAGGATATCGAGAATGAGGATAGTCAATAATGCAGTATTTCATGCCGATCTTCGCACCATTTGACTAATCGTCTTTAGACGATTGACAATCTTGATCCTAATATGTCACAAGAAGATGAATTGGAACACCAATTTTCGGAGGAAGACTCATTGTTTTAGTTATAAAGTGTGTTTTTTATGAAGTATACTTTAGTTATGATGTGTGTTTTTTATGTATTAAGTTGTGCTTTCTATGTTTTAAATCATGTTTCTAGGTATTATGTCGTGTTTCTAGGTATTTTAAATTTTAATTTATTGTGACTTTTTAATTTAATATGATTTTTTTGTGTTTTAAAAGAATATAATTTATTTAATATTAATTGTTTGTGTTTTAAAAAAAATTATTTAATATGAAATGTTTGTGTATTAAAAAATATAATATATATAAGTTTGAAAAAGAAAATGAAAAAAACAAAGAGTGTTAGGGGTGCTACCACTCTCTATGAAATACTAAGAAAAAAATGCTAGCGGACAGACAAAAAAATGACATGACAGTAAAAAAATATGTTGCAAGGTGTTAGGAGTGCTACATGTAACAACCCAATTTTCGAAAGAAAATTTTCATTTTTAGATAATCACAACGTTTCCAATAAACCACAAAATCTCAAGAAGAGTTGTTTTCAAATTCGTAGCATCAACAATTTTATTTCAAATATCAGGGTGTCCCATAAAACGCCTGAGAGAGTGCATGCCGCGCCATAAAGCCTTGCCCTTGCCCTTAGGCTCAGAAGTACCTGAAACAAACCAACAAACTATAAGCTAATGCTTAGTGAGTTCCCCATAGCATACCCCACACAGTCCACATAATCACATATACCATATTAGCTATAAAGCTACATAAACCACATAAGTCATGCATACAAACATATAAGGATGTCGTGGGCTCCCCCCCAGGGTCTTACTCTATGATGTCATGGGCTCCTAACATGGTCTTACACCTAAGTGTCATGGGCTCCCCCCACGGTCTTTAATAGGAAAGCCATGGGCTCCCCACATGGTCTTACATCCATGTGTCATGGGCTCCCCCCATGGTCTTTAATAGGAAAGCCATGGGCTCCCCACATGGTCTTACATCCAGGTGTCATGGGCTCTCCCATGGTCTTCCATACAAGTATATTACATATACAACTAGCATACCTCCTAGCACATAACCAACTAACATGCTATATAACACTACATCAACTAGTTTACCACATATCATAAAATGGGTCGACCTTGGTGCCTTCGACCCATTGGTATAGTGAGGAGACTCACCTCTATCTGCTGAATCTGAAAGTTGTTCTCCTAACAGTCCGTGAACACCCGTGCTGAACAATAATACCATTACCCCAGGTTAGGGCTGAACATAATCCAATTGAAGAACCCAAACCCCAAGTCCTTTCACAATGGCCAAAAAAGTCTTCCTTTGCTAATAGGCCCAAAGTCCATGTCCAAAATCATTAATGGGCCTCATGGCCCAATAAAGCCCAAACATAGTAACCATGGCCCAAAACAGATAAGTTGGCCCACTAACTCAAAGCGTAACCAGACCCAATGACTAATTAAGGCCCAAAGGGCTTACAAGCCCAAAATAAGTATGAGCCCATCTGAGGTGCGTACGCCTTGCGTACCACCCTGGTACGCGCAACGTACTGAGTCCCTGAGCTGTACACGCTGCATACTCTAAGTTACGCCCAACGTACAAACAAATTAAGCACCTTCTTCCATTAAGTGCTTAATACTCGATGTTCTAACGTCCAATATCATATCTGAGCTCATTAAGACGTCCTAGGGCATAAAGTTGGCAACTTTATGCCCTTGCATGCTATATGGAACTTAAAAACTTCATTCTTCACATTAGGACTTCATATAAAGCTTCAAAATCATGCATGGAGTCTAGATAATCTTCAAGCTAGCACCTTTATGCATCTAGCATGCTCACAAAGCTCAAATCTAACCATTTCAGTCTCTGGAGTTGCTCAACTCTCAAGAGAAGGTCCAAAACCAACTAAAATGACAATATAGAAAACCCTAATGAATAAGATGGAAAGATCAAGACTTTATACGTCCAGAGGCTCTTCAAGGTGAATTAGATGCAGATTCTTGAAGCCCAATGCCACTTCAAGCTTGCTTAGCAACTCCTTCTTCTTGAATGAACTCTAAAATGGCCACAATACACTCCTTAAGCTCAAAAACACTCTCACAAGGTATCTCTGGTGTAGAAGTGCGAAATAAGGCTATGGAGGTTGATTAGGGTTTGGTCCAAGAGGCTTAAGGGTGTTTAAATAGGTGTCAAGTCCGAGAATTAGGGTTTTGGCCCTCTGTCGCGTACGCCCTGCGTACCTATACGTACACCCTGCGTACGCGGCCACCCTCTGCATTCATGCATCCCTAGTACGCTAAGCGTACTCCTGGAGTACGCCCCCGCGTACTAAGGGACCTTTTACGCCATATTTTCCATATCAAGGGTCTAAAGAGTAATACCTAATTTGGAGTGTTACACTACCACTTCCTATAACTTAAATATCATTCAAATCAAATATGAAACATTGAATCTACCAGAGCAGCTCGATATTTTGTGGAAATAACATAAGATATTTAAAGTTTGAAATATGAACACCGATTGATTGAATACATGAATTGAAACAAAAGTGTACATACCTCAACTAGATGAGAGTGACGGTCGCCATGAGGGGTTTACACGGTGACGATGAATAAGGGCAAAGTTTATTACATGTATCTTTTGAAGTATAAAGATAATACTTGTACATTAACCCCTTACTCAATTACTTTCTAAGACTTTTGCCCCTTATATTTTCATTAGACTAAAACACGCCTTATTAACAATGTGTATTAAATGGTCGTTTCTTCACCTATTAACCATTTAATTAAAGATAGTCTCTCTGATTTAACCATTCAAAATTCAGGATGTTTGGTGTAACATCCCAAAATCGAGACCCAATTTTTTTTATTTCATATTACTTAATAAAATAGTTCACGGAAAACATCATTGTTATCGTTTCAAAACATCAAGTAAAAATCACAAGTCCTGAAAACCATGACTTCAAATGATAAAATATCAGAGTACAATCCCAGGTTTCTCAAATGCGGAAAGT